TATAGAGATAGTTGTCGGTCTTATATTAGAATGAGACCAATGGCCTTTTTTAAACTTGTTGAAATAATGAAAGCAATTGGTTTATTAAAATGATTTTGTTGCTATCAGTTGTTGTTTGTGATGCTCCTTTGGTTTGGCTTTGTTGCTATCAGTTTTGATGGTGGGTGGAGCTTGTGATGCTCCTTTTGTTTGGTTTTGTTGCTATCGGATGGAGCTTGTGATGCTCCTTTGGTTTGGCATTATTGTTGTCTATTGAAGCTTGTGATGCTCTATGTTTGGTTTTGTTGATTTCGGTTGATGGAGCTTGTGATGCTCCTTTGGTTTGATTTTGTTGTTGTCGGTTTTGATGGTGGATGGAGCTTGTGATGCTACTTTAGTTTGGCTTTGTTGCTATTGGTTGGAGCTTGTGATGCTCTTTGTTTGGTTTTGTTGATTTCAGTTGATGGAGCTTGTGATGCTCCTTTGGTTTGATTTTGTTGGTTTTGGTTGGTTTGGTGGATGGATATCGTGATGCTCCTTATTTGTTTTTGTTGGTTTCGGTTGATGGAGCTTGTGATTCGCATTCTTTGTTTTGTTGGTTTTGGTTGATAAATTGTTGGAGCTTGGGTTGCTCTTATTTAGTTTTCTTGGTTTATGTTTATTATATGCTGGAGCTTGTGATGCTCCATAGTTGATATTTTGAAATGATGATTAGCGTTTACTGAGAATGAATCTAACTTATAGCGCTTATTATGTTCAGACAAGGTAATATGTGATGAGATTGCATCCTACATTGAAATAACAATGTCTAGATGAGGTAGTTCATCATTAGAATGCAACATATAATAAACCTGTAAGTTATAGGTGAGGCATTCAATTTTGACAAAATAACCTAATCCTGAGCCGTACACTATCAATTAGATTTTTAATGATAGTTTACTCAATTCCAATAAAATTTTTCATTATAATATCAATAGTTTTTGCAAGTACAAGTACATTACATGCGGTTTATAATAATTAAAATAATACAAAATATCACCAGTAAAATTGCTAAAGTTTTCCAAGCTAGTAGTTATTTTTCGACAAGTTTCAATTCTTTCTTTAGCCTCTTTGATTTCAAAAAATACTTATCTCTGAACCTTTTTTTTTGACAAATTAGTTTCATTGGTTGCTTATTTTTCCTCCATGAGCCCATTCAAAAAATTGCATTCTTTATTTGGGTATTTTGCACACCCTAATAATACCTTTTCTTATTTTTACCATTGTTGCATACTTTCATGGGTGTTTGGAAATTGCAATCGTGCCAAACTTTAAATTTTTTTTGGCATTCTTTTGATATCATATTGATGGAAGGGAGGAAACTTGCAAACTATGAGAATTTTAAAAAAGTGGTAAGGATGAGGGATACATTGGCACCATGAGCCCTCAATCCACATTTATAGCCTCTAAGGCCTTGGAACTAGTCGTTTCTATAATATTTTTTTCGGTTTTGAATTTTGGTAAACAGGTAAGATTACCCAAACTTCTCTTACTTAAATATTTTGTCCACTAATGAGTGGTAAGAATATCTAAGGTGTTCTCACTATTTATCCTAAAAATTTCTCATTTCAAACCAAACTAAAGAATATGAATTGGAGGGTTTCTATAAAGTTGGATTCTATATTTTCATGTTATGAAACAAACATAGAAAGTTAAAAAAAATAGAATTCCACAATATTCCATGACAATATAAAATTACCCTATTAATTTTTTTATAGATTAGGAAGGAATCCATAAAAAACATTCTTTTCCTAATCATATTCTTACTCACTATTGAACCAAACACACCCTTAACAAAAGAGAAAAGGCCAAGCAAATAAATAAAATTGTTTCAGTTGTATATACGTCGAGGTTATTGTAATTTAGAAAGAGTAGTGATGACAATGCTATTCTATTTGTATTAAATTATAGTGGCGAGTCATTATTACCATACTTTTTTGTGAGTGATAGTGTCAAAATAGTACTATAAATATAATAGTATAATTATCACTACTCTTCAGAAAAAGTTAAATTACACTGAACCCTCCATGTACTTTCTGTAGCATTTTGAAGTAAACTTTTAACAACTTCCAGAATCACACATACTCCCCAATAACTATCAAAATCACACCAAAACCCCAAAAACCTTGTGGAATTGCAGAAAATCCCAATTAAGTTTTAGCATTTTGCAAACAATCCTTGTTAATTAGAAAAAGAATATCAAAAGACATTTTGAAGGATAATTTCAACAAAAGAGAAAACGGAAAACAATAATAGTTTGAGACCTAACCTGGTAGGAGCGAGAGGAAAATGAATGACAAAAATCAAGGGATTTATGTTTATAAGATTGAAAATATAAAAAGATCAAAAAGAGCTCTTTTCTAAAAAATAATTTAAAGGTTATTCTGATTTTTTTTTAAGTCACATAAGTTGCCATGTGTAACTTTAGATATAACAGTGTTAATTTGGGAGTTTTCTATAAAAGTTATTTGGGATCTAGAATGATCTTGAAAGTTATTAGGGGTTTATAATTATCGCTTTCTACTATATAGACTAAGACAAACTTGGAAACGGTCATCTTTTTAGACAAACGCAAGCTTGAAAACTTTAAATTTGGGCCGATCATTTTGTTGTAGAGAAATGGGGCCTACTCGAGAGCTTAATGGATCGATCTTCCACCACGTGTGAAATAAATTTGATCAACCCGGAGTTTAATAAGTCTAAATATATAGAAGCTAGGAAGTCATTTTAACTTAAAAGTTATAAGCTATTAGCCATTGTCTCGAACTCCTATTTAAACTCATGCTCATTCTTACCCAATCGAATCTCGGAACACCTGTATCATTCTTATTAACGACAAATATCATCAGATTAGATCTTCCAGCTTACTAGACCAATTTTTTTAATCATGTATAAGATATACCACGTTAATAAAATGCACCATACAACTGCAAGAATCTTTTGAATTTAGCAATTTATCAAATTGGTATTGATCCGTTCTCTCTGCTTTTTCTGAAAGGAAGGTTTATATAATTTTTTTTTTTGGAAGAAAATCTCGGAGTTATATATAATTCCATTAAAAAAAAGTAGAATCAGTGTAAACTTTGTAATGAAATCTCCCTTTTCTAACCGGGAGGGTAAGCTTGTAGTTCTCAATCTCAATCAATTTCAAGGTTATGGAAAAACAATAATATGATATCAAAGCAATCTATATTTGTGTCTCATTCATCATAAATATTTAACTCATGCTTAGAAAAACATTTTCGTTGTGTAAAACAAATAAGCTTGGGGGAAAATATCGATCGTCAAACTACAAAAAGGTGTTATAACATAATAATATATCTCTCAACTATCATCACAATTTCTATATTTAAGTCTGTTCGAAATACTAAACTTTTCTGCATCTGCATCCATTTCCATGAGGGAACAACTGAGCCTTGCCTCCTGCTTCCTACCTCTTTAGGGGCTGTTTGTTTGCCTAAAAAAAAGAGGGAAATCAAAGAAAATGAAACCTATTTCTAAGAAAAATAGGTTTTGGGATTGTTTGGTTGGCTAAAAAAAGAAGGAAATCAAAGAATGGGAGATGAGATGATGTTAGTTGGATGAAAATAATATTTTATCGGATGATTTGTTGAAATAATATTTTATTGGATGTTATGGATGAGTTGTTAGATTAAAATAATATTTTATTGGATGTCGTGAATGAATTTTAGGGATGTAAATGGATAAAATTTCACTTTTTAAGATTTCCACCTTTTTATTTCCTTTTCTTAGTTTTTAGGGGAACCAACCAAACAGACCCTAATTATAGTGCAAAGAAAAAGCATGGGCCTCCCTTTGCCGCCAAAACGCTCCCGCTTGTAAGTTGTAAGGTGGCCCCCCTACAAGAAAACATGTTTCGTAGTCGCACCCCACGTTCTCTTGTTTTTATGTGGTTGTACTTGGAATCTGATGTTGTCCTCTTCCTTAGTACTCGGTGGATCACTTGCATGTGGTTTGAGCTTTAGTTATTTTCTCGTTTTCTTCACCGCTAACTTTATCGTAGCAACAAACCATAGGCAATCCGTTCACAGCTAAGCCGAACTGTTATGAGGTTTCAATATGACTCCCACGATTCAATGCTAGGCTAGATTGTTAACAAGCATAGAGAAATAAAACAACTAACAATGTGAATATAACCCTCACCAGTAGGGGTGGAAATGAACCGAACAATTAACAAATAGTTTGATAGTTGATCGGGTACTTATTCGGTCATATTCGATTCGGTAGTTCATGTGCCACTAAACAAAAATATTTTAGTATTCGAGTTTACTACGAATAGAATTAACTAGATGTATATTCGACTCGTTTGTCTATCAAATATTCGTTTAAAATTTGATCACTTATTATTTATATTATTGCACATATGATGTCATATTTTTAACATATTTACCATTTATACTTTTATTTTATGTACTGATTTTAAGACTTAAATAATCTTAAATTTATTTCTAATAAAAAATTTAATTTAAATATACATACATGACATATTATAAAGGAATAATTTTTATTTATGAATTTAAATACCATTTGAAAATCAAATTCTTTAACAAAATAAATATACTTTAATATTCAAAAAGTATTCATAAATATTTATCAAATACCAAGTATTCGAGTTCGAATTCAAAAAACTCCATATACGAATTAAAATCCGCATTCGAATTCGATAATTTTAAACAAATACAAATACAATCACCTTAGTATTCGATTCAATTCGATCATTTACCACCCCTACCCACCGGGATCCACTAATCTTTTGTAACCTTTCCTAGGATTGGGATCAGGATTAGCTCCAATTCATGAGGATTATCTTAAAAGGGTTCCAGTTTGATGGCACGAGGGCTCGAATTCGGACATAGAAATCCCCTAACCAAGTTTTCTCCATTGCATCAAACAGTGGGAAAAAAGATATTCAAACATGAATAGTGTTAGATGAAAGACCAAAGAAAAGAAAATATAAGACATGAATCAATCAAACATATATTTTGGACTTGTTTATCCTCAATCGTCATTACAGTGTTACAAGTTACAAGAATATACCAGAACACCAAAATCTAACATAGTAATAATACAGATACACCAATGACTTGTTTCTTTACAAGGTGTTGCAGAATAAATAAAGATTGAGCTACCTAATCTAGTTTACATGAACATATGCTATCGATCACGCTAGTTAAATTCAGGTTGAAGCTTTCTGAAGCAGATGATATTATGAAATCCATAAATAATACATCCATAAATAATATATACGGCTTCATGGTGCCACTTGATCATCTTCAAACTAAGCCAATATGGCCACAGGAACCGAAGTCTAAAAACTATATCAACCGATGTGATGCTGCTGTTTCTCCCTGCAAGCAAACCAATTAGATAAATTCATCAACAAATGGTCAAAACTCATTAATAATTCAATCTTCCTCACCTTATTTTTAACCTGATTTATTAAAAAACATAGAAAACTATAAATACTTGCTGCTTAAAAACCAATCATCATGAAGACAATCATCACAATTAGGCTCCATCAGAAATGACACTTAGGCGCCTCTTTACTTCTTCATGGTAGGCTTGCAGATTCTGGAATTCCTCTGTATCAGTGAACTTCACAGCCTAGAAAAACATCCGATAGTACGTCAGTAGACAATAATTTTTAAAGAAAATTTTATTTGTCCTAAGCCATCTTACATCTTAATTCTTAATTATTGCATGCATGTATGAAATTGCTCAAACGACTTGATCTAGTCCTTAGGAGAAACTCGACCCAAAATGCAATCTAGGCAACGATCACAAGGAAATTTATTTGAAAATATCATGATAAGAAAACTAACAAGAGCTAATGTTAAGGACATACTGTATCTGAGATTCAATAATCATTTTCCAAATATATTGCGGAGCTGATGAATGGAACACCCTAATATTGTGTCCCCTTTGTTCAGACTCCAAACCGTACATATACAAGTTCAGGCAACATGAACAAAAAGGAAGTTTTCTTTACCTATTCCTCGATACTACACTCTGATATTTATAAGGTTTAGTTACCAGTGGACATTACTCTTATGACAATTCATTCTCCTCCACTCTCATTTCCTTACATAGGGTAGGCAACAAGAGAAAAACATGGGGTCTCTACCACGTCAATCGATTAACTCTTTCTGTGAAGCCTCATAATATAGGTGCCCAAAAAGTTAATTTTTTGGAAGGAAAAAAGATTAAGATGATGGAACCAAACAAACAATCAAAAAAGAGAAAATAATTAGCAAATTTTACCGTCATAATCAACAAATAATTTCAACCTGGATTTCACAATAACCTGCAAGTCTGCAACCAAAATTTTCATTGATACCAATATATGGTCAAATCTCAAATTATAGCTAAACCAGCAGAAAACAAAATCAAGATCTTTGGTATGGTCACAATCTAATTGTTACCTCAAAATATTCACTGTCAAGCAAAATTAACTAAAGAAAAGAATATATTAGAGTCTCAACTAGTTCAAAGACAAACAAATGTCATTAATCAGTAACTAAGAAAATATATCATTCACGCAGGATTTTTGCATGTTGAGCTCGTTTGCACTCTTCCATTGGAACATTTATAAACTTCTGCTATTGACAATCCCTATAAACCCAGAAGGAAAATCCATTTGTTCCGTATCTTGTTAATTAATGATGAAACAATTTATGTGGTGACAAGACAGTTCAAGCGTCAAAGGGGACTAACAGGTTGATAGATTAATTCAAAAAAAAAAAAAGGATTCTCGGGGTTGACACAGTGGCATTGAGAAGGTCACTCTCGGATATGAAGCCAATCGGTAATTGATAGGTACAACAGGAATGATTCCCGTAGCCATTTTCACAAACTATTCACTTAGCAAAAGCATTTTCTGTATGTATAAAGATTTTTCAACTCATTCATTTTTTTAGGCTACGGCCTTTTCCCACATAAAAAATAAAATAAAAACTCATACATTCTTATACCAAACAGGGAAATTTATTTACAACTAATAAATGATAAATGGAGGCTCTTCCTTTTCTGTCATTTGCAGCATAAAAGAAATTGCTGCTGTCGTTTGTTTTGCATTCTCTATTAAGCATGCAGTCGTATTCTAGTTTTAATAGGCTAATAATCCAGTGCTTTTATGTACACAAGGCATGATTAGCTTCTGATGGTTCAAAAAACAAATAAGCCAAGTTCTTTCTTAAAATAACATGTTCTCCATGGTATAACATGTACCATACTTGCATGGGCATATATTCTTGCATGGAAAAACAAAAGCAAAACAATAACAAGTTTACCTGCTTCACTGAGTTTCTTAAATGCATCTCAGCCATCGTGAGCTCTCGCCGACTCCCCGATGAAGATGCAATTTCCATGTAAACCTTGCAGAGTTGCAAAGAAGCATGAGCAAATTTTTTAAATCGATCTTGATCATGCCATAAGTCTGAACCCTGCAGAAAACAATAGGTTTACAATTATCAAGAGTATTTCTGCCAGCTTATATAATAAAGACTCAATATCTGACCAGTATCTACAAATTCTATGATAAGTCATTGGCCTAGAGTTATAATAGCATATACGGAAGTTGTTGATGACAAGATGGATGCTAAATGGAGACGCATTAAAGTTTGAAGGGAAGGTGCTAAGCTCAACGAGGTATTTTTACATGGATTAGCTCATAAACCATAAACTGCTCAAAAAATAGAAATCTGTGCATTAACTAAGTCAATATCATCAACAAATTTATCACCATTCAAAAGTCTGCATTTCAGTAACAAAACTATATGCATAAAAGTCGAATGAGAAATACAAGCTATAAAGTCAGTTAATAATGAGACTCTCTCACTAAAAAAGTAAAAAAATGATGTAGGTGCAAACTGCAATTAAATGAGAAATACAAGGCAAGGGAAAACACCGAAAGTTTAGGCTATTCTATCTTTGTAGGTATACTGCTGTCCTTCCTCATCCAGCAACTAAGCATAGTCCAACCTCATTTTCGCATCATAAATTAGTAATGAACTAGTCTAGGAGCCAAATAATATATAATGTCATGTGGCTCATGCCTAAGGTTAGAAACAGAATAGGTATCATCCGGATATTAATAGCATTTAGGAATTTTTCTTTAGGTTGTGAAGAAGCTAGAGTCTATAAGTGTGGATTTTGTTTCATTTACATTTTGTAGGAAATCAATATTTTATGAGATAGTTATTGTTATTGCTGTTGGTAACTGGATCAAGTATGTAACCTTCATATTATTAGTGGCAGAAAACAACAGGAGTGGTTAGAGAGCACTTAATTAAGATTTTATAAGCCCCTGAAATTCAAGATACTTAAACAAAGAGAAATGAGCAATATACGTACTATATACCTACTACTTATCATTTAACCAACTGGTGAGAACTATATACTTGTCATTTAACCAATTGGGGCAACAACAAAGAGGCTGCTTAAAGACTAAGCTGCATGAAAACGGGTACAAGCACAGGTACAAGACATGGCATTTCTGCAAAATGCGGGTAGGGACACTGCTATAAATATGTATTTACATGAATATCTTATATGTAGTAAAATTAATAATTTACATGAGAATTAAAAATTGTTTTTTCATTCACATGTTATGAGAATTAAATACCTATAACATTTGTATGTTATCCAAGCGGGCTTTTAAAATCATAGTTCTGAACTAGCTATGAATGCAACGAAAGTGATGTATGAAGAACGATTTTCAACTAGTAGGTGTGATGTGCAGGATATATGTCCAAGAGATGTATGACGAGTGTTTTAAATTAAACATATATTATATAAATGAGTACATGCCTAATTATATGTAGGCATATGTTTAAGAAGTGTCCAAGTAGTTAGGGTGGGGGTACGGGTACCAGAACATGTTTGGCTGGGATATGGGTACAGCTTCAGATAGATGTACCCAAGTAACATAGCTTAAGGAGATGATATGTGAAGGTAACTAGATTGATGATCTTGATTTACAGTTTACCATTATGTTGAAAATAAATGTTGCTCATTAAAATTTGTCGTATGCTTCCAATTTAATCCTTTTGTATGTTTAATAGTGTACTCAAATATTAAAAAACTAGTCAATTGTAGTTCCACATAATTTAGTTATGCCGCACGTAACATGGTTGTGAATTTGTTATCCTTTGTTGCCAAGCATGAACTAACCTCCCGGACTGGTCGAAAGTTAAATCTATAAAAGATTGAAACATTAAATTCGCATCACTGTTAAAGGTGACTGAGCATAAAACTCAAGTGCTGCTCAGACTCCTAGAGCTTTTACAACTGTGCAACTGAAACTTTGATAGGTTTGATGCGACACATTATCTTGCTTTCTCTACCCAGCACAATGAAGCAGCAAGCTGGCTTATTCATTGAAAGGCACCATTAATCTTAACCTTCAGCCCCATAAAGGGTCTGAGTACCAAATAATAGCAGTAATAGTTTCAGTATCGGTTGAACAACTGATTAAACAATTATACGGTGATAGCATAAGAGGTAGGAGGATATTAGACGCAAAGATATGTGAAGTTTACAGGTATTAGACTCTACGGAGATTAAAAAAGAGTGAAGAGAAGATGAGAAGTACATAAGTAACAGTTTCAGTAATGTCCAGAATAGTAGGGTCAAGATCAATAACATGCGAAACACATAACATGCCTAGATCAACTGAGTTGTGTCTGTGAACAGAGTTCTTTTTTCCCTCCCCCTTCTTAGTGGTAAACTGATAATGGATTTTCTTTCTATTTTAAATTTGGGGTTGGGTGATTTGGGGTTAGGGTTTTGGAACGGGTGGGTTTTTTGAGTTTTTTTTTTTTTGGGGGGGGGGGGGGTCGTTTGCTACTTATTTCTCATGAAACATTCATACTGATCGCCAAAAATTTCTTCTTTTTAACATGTCAGCTCATTCCAGAAAATCTAACATTAAGCAAGGAGCATACCATGCGTCGTGCTTTTCAAACCCTAAGGAAACAAAATCTCAAGTTATTACTTCTTTCAGAGTTCACTAGGATGTAGAAACTGCTAGTTCCAGAGTTGATGAATACATGCCGATTCTTTCTCACTTCTTCCTATCCACCACAAATACACAGCAAATGAATATATCCTCTCAGTTGTTTCCAATGACATCTCATAAAACTTGTTACACTTTTCTACATCTAGAATGATTTCCAAACAAGACCATTAGTATGTTTGACTGCACTGGACCATCAATAAATGTTAGATTAGATGTTTTATTATGCAGTGTCTTAAAACAAAAAAAAAGCAAAAAATTGGAGCAGTCAGCTAAGCTGATTTCTTAAGTGCCGAGGCAGCCAACTTTTACACTGCCACTAAGACCAACTTAATTTGTAGGCCACAATAGATGGGATTATAGTACACACAAGCATATTATATAAAAATCAGTAAAATGACTGTTCTTCCTGGTGGCTGGATTGCATGAAACACTTCAGGAATCGATTTCTGCAATTTGGGGTTGATATTAAACATGGCAAACGAAATCGATGGTGCTTGAAATATATGATGACTTGTACTTAGAACATTACACCTGTACAGTAATAAATGAAACAAATTTCTCAACTTTTAAGCACATTGTAACAACTCATAGGACTTCAACATGCCCAATAAAATCCAACATGCTTCAAGTTCAAGTGAATTTCAGAACCAAATTAATATGTGCATTGTTGTATAATACAATACCTGGTATGATCTAACTTCTTTCAAAAGGGCTTCAGAACACATAAGCAGATCGCCTTTGATTTTGTGCCACCTGGCATACAGGCCCCATATGTCTGCTACGCCACCATTTTTAACAATCTGGCAACCACAAAAAAAAAGGCTACAGATTTAGGGTTCATTTAAATCCAGAAACTAGCAAATACATTACAAGGTAATCGAGAAAAACATAGCGTATGGAACAGATAGTATAGAGTGAAAAAAAAGTATAAATCATTCTTTCAGAGCTGTTTGCATAAGTACCTAATCAAGAACAGGTAAAATGTGAAGTACCTGAGCTAGAATACCGCCAAGCATGTTCATCAGAAGATCAATTTCTCTAGGATTAAGGAGACTCTGTTCAGAGTGTGCAGACTCTTCAGAGGTGTCAATCATAGAATCACCTGGACATGTTTTTGTATCATGTTTTTTAGAAGATAATATAGACACTACACAAGAGTCGGTCATAGAATTAGAGGAATCTCTTTGGGGAGTATGTTCATCATTTCTTCCAGTGCCATAAGCAGCAGAATCTGCAGTTTCAGAGGCATTTTCCTCAATGGCCCTCATCACAACATCCAATAACTCAACATCTACCCGTTTATTATTGGATAAATCAAGTACCTGTTTAATGGCCTCCAATGCCTGCAGTTACAAATCCAAAGAATTAAATAAGAGGTCTTTCACCAATACTGACTAATATGGATTATATGAAACCCATGGTCTGCATCATCTAAAGTATATTAGCAGTAAAAAGGTTTAGGCCGATTGAATCTAATTATTCACTGCTAATTTAACTTAAACAACTTAGAGATGAGTAAAAGGCTATTCGTCTTGTGAACTATAGGCTACTTCATATTGTGTATAAAATAAAGCAAACAGAAATGAATTGTATGGATTTTTTTTATTTTTTATAAACCTTTGTGGTACAGGAGCGTTTTCTGAAAGAAAATTCCACAAAGGGATAAAGGTCGAGACATTTTTGAGAAAAAATTGGGATGAATCGCTAAGGTTTAAGACAACTAAAAACAGATTTGTAAATGACCCTTCTTCATGAACAATGGAAAGATAGAAGATGGTACCACATAAACAAACATAACAGAGCAAACGCAAAACAGAATTATCATCAAGTGTAATAGCAACCATTAATTTGGAAGGAGTTACATCTCCAGACAGTGACAGTAGTTTATAAGAAAAGAAAAATATATAGGTATCATTCTCACCTGGGTAAAATTGCCAATATCAATAGCAACATGACTATAATTCTCCCAAAGTTGCCAAGTGTTCCTCCTGTCAAAATATCTATGTATCAGAAGAATCTGTGTATTAATCCACAGACCTAAAAATGTGCAAATATATAGTTTGATACCTGAACTTTAGTGCTTCCTTAAATGCAATGAAAGCTGGTTTGCTCTTCTTATTCCTCATATGCCTGGATAAAGCATCAAGAAATACATTTTAGAAGAGACAGAAGTATGAAATTACAACAATTAAGACATTATAACCAATGCTCAAGTTCATCAGTAAAGAAGAGGCCCAGATACTCTATTCATACATTTACTTCTAATGATGTCTTAGTTAATTTGGTATATAGGGCACATAAAAATAAAATACCAATATTTCTATTTTCTTAGATAAATACGATCTTAACATTACATCATATGTACAATGTTTGGACTTTGGATTTTGAAACAGAAACTGGAAATCTGATTTGGTGTCCTCAAAGGACACGAAAAGGAACAGTATCAGTCAGTTAAAGCAACATGTTCTTTCAAAGAAGATTTCGAGAATATGTAACACATACAAGAAAGCAATATTGTTCCAAGCCTCTCCATTTTCAGGATCAAGCTGCACGGCATGAGTAAACCCATCCAAAGCTTTTTCATAATCTCCAGCCTGTAAGTTCCAATAAAAACAAAATTCAGGAAAGTGTCAGGTGTCTCGAACAAAAGTTCAGAACATAGAATACAGTGCAATTACACCAAACTCTCCTTAAGAGTAAAAAATAACTAGGCCAATAATAAAAACAGTACACATTAAGGAGAATGTTAAGTTAAAACGATACATGCATCTATAAACAAGAAACGACTACCAACAGGTCATGAAAAGATACAGACGAAGCCAACTATACTGCTATACCTAGGAGTTAGACAAGTTAATGGACACAGAATATACCTTTAATGCAGCTGCTCCAAGTGCAAACCACCCGTCTTGAAACAAAGAATTGATGGCCAATGCAGATTCCCTGAAGAACAAGGTTTTCACAAAAACAACATTAGCAGTATTGTAACAATCTAGTCACAATTTTGCTAAAAAAGTATTTGAATTATGTCTATCATTCAACAGAGAAAATGAGATACCATAGAATTTTAGATGTCTCATAATCACCCCTGTTGTATGCACTACGAGCTAGAGATCGCTGTCAGGAAAGAAAAGGTTGATCAAATTCAAGTAGACCGCATGTTCAAAGATATTACACACGCTTCATGTTAAGACCTCACCTTAGCTCGAGCAGATTTATTGTCTGAAACTTCCAATGCTTTCTCATAATAAGCATCATTGTTTGTTACGTCACCAAGTGAACACCTGGCAGCAGCTTGCAATGTTTTTTAAAGAAGTACAATTAGGGGATAAAACAACACCTAATTTAGTTTAGAACTTGTCTAGATTATGCTGTGGTCACCTGATTTTAGCAACTTGGTTCTAGCATAAGTAAATTATGAACTGTTTCTAAATTTCGAGATCATAGGAACACAATGATAAAACAAACTAACATAGTCCTTTCATACTTTACAACTGAAGAAAGGGTTGCAACAATGTATCAAGTGGATTTTGACATGTTCTGCTCAAACGAGAGGAAAATAGAGCATCCAACATATCTACCGAGTTATGTAGTTGCTTACCATAACCTCGGATCAGTAGGCATATCAACCAATCTTGCCTTGATAAGGTCAACAGCAGCTGCCTTCTTATCTAATAAGCTGTTGAACATGAAACATTAGAAAACATGAAATCACCCATATAATGTCATGAAAGTATAATCAGTAATCAGAGTGATACCGATAGCAAAAGATAAGATTATCCCAAAGTTCAAGATCTTCAAAAGTTTTAAGTGCCTCTCCAATCATGCCGCAACTTACTAACAGCTCTCCATATTCTCTAGAAGAATAAAACATATTTATTAATACCAGACTGAAAAGAATTGCATTTCAACACAGAAAACAAACATACTGAATTAAAAAATCACTAATAATAACAACATTCCCATGTCCAGAAAATAAACTTAATACATACTTGCGCAATGCAGGTATAGTTGGGAGGTAAACCGCAAATGAAACTTGAATCCTTTGGGCAACCATCGGTAAATTTTCTTTAATAGCTTCAACCTAAAAACACAGCTACAAATAGTTAAAAGTTAAGAAACTAAATAGTAAATACCATAGTGGTAGCTGAATTATATATAAACATATGCATGTACAAAAGGATAAACAATGAACACATGTATGTCATGTGTCACATCTTCATTGTGGTTTACTGGTTCTTAAGTTCTCTGATAAATACTTAGAGCTCATAACAATTTATATAACTGCAACTGAATTGCTGATTTGTTGTCCTAAGAGTTTATTTCTCTGATAAATACTTAGAGCTCATAACAATTTATATAACTGCAACTGAATTGCTGATTTGTTGTCCTAAGAGTTTATTTCTCTGATAAATACTTAGAGCTCATAACAATTTATATAACTGCAACTGAATTGCTGATTTGTTGTCCTAAGAGTTTAT